TGACAGGGGGCAGCGCCCCAACCCCCTGATCGGCCCTGCTCTGTGCGTGACAGGGCGTGGCGCCGCAACCTCCCCATCGACCCTTGTGACAGGGGGACAGGGGGCGGTGCCCCAACCCCCCAATCGGCCCTACCCTGAGTGTGACTGAGGGTGGCATCGCAACCTGCCCTGCTCTCGGGTCCCAGACTGCGAGAGGGCACAGGCCGGGCTGGGGGACCCCCCTCCCCTCCCGAGTGCACAAATTTTTGTGCACCGGGCCTCTAGTCTATACTAATAAAAGCCTTGGGGGGTGATCAGGCTGGCAGGGGAGTGGTTAGCAGCCAGTGGTCCGGATTGTGAGAGGGATGTCTGAGTGCCGGCAGTCAGACATCCCCTGAAGGGTCTGAGATTGGAGAGGGTGCAGGCTGGGTTGAGGAACTCCCTCCACCCCCGTGCATGAATTTCATGCACTGGGCCACTAGTAATTATAATAATCTTGTATGAGGCTTAAATAACATAGAATTACAATCTCTAATAACCATAGTTTATAACTCCATGGAGTTAAACATTAATAAGATGTTCCAGGTACTTTTTTTCTTACTCTAAATATTATTTATTGTGCATGTATCTTGTGAACTGATTTGAGTATTTCTGTTTCATAAAAATAAACTTTGCACATATACCATTGTAACAATCCCATAATATTCTACATTCTAGAGATTGGCAATTACACAAAAGCAACTGTGAGAAGGTGATGATTTAGCTTGATTATATCCTGATCTTAATATTTTACAAGGGTATTTTTTGCACTAAGGAATAGAAATCTGGATTACAATGTTTGCTAACCAGTTTTTCTTTGTCTTTTTTTTCTTCACACCTTGCTGTATTATATCAACAGAGTGCTTTAAGATTTTGATCTTCAATTCAGTTATGCAACATTTTACCATCTCCCTTTGTTCTCTAAAAACAGTGTCATAAAATACATTCCCTTGGAGGTGATATTTATATAGCATAACTTTTGCTCTTTGTATTGCTACTCTGAGGGAACAGGGAAGGAAATGTATCATCACACATTTGTTACTTTCAATTACAACTTCAAATGTGGTATTTTACAAGAATTATTTACCCTTTTCCCCATCAAAGTTTCAAATCTCCCTAGTAGTGAGCTTGACATATACCTCAATCTCATTCCACTTTCCACTTTTCACTGTTACATAGGTAGCTGGGATATTCTAATAAAATCTCCCAATATCTACAGCATATCAAAGAATGATAAACTAATAAAATGTCATAGTTACATCATTTGGGTGATAAATATATACGAAAGTTATTTAAAAATACATCATATCACACAAAATGGTTTGCTTGAAATATGTTTGAAGAAATTGTTTATCATGCTAAAAATAAATCAGTTTTAATGTCAATACTCTTTATTTATAATTGACATTTACAATAATAAAATTTACTTCATTAGTTTAATCATTACAGTTAAAAAATCAAATGTTTTGGCCTGGCCAGTATGACTCAGTGGCTGAGCATCTACCCATAAATCAGGAGGTCACAGTTCAACTCCCTGTCATGGGCAGAGATTAATGATTCTCTCTCATCATTGATGTCTCCTCCTCTCTCTCCCTCCCTTCCTCCCCCAAATCAACAAAAATCTATTTTTAAAAAATCAAATTTTTGAAAACAAATAAAAAATTGGAGAATTCTGTGTTTTGGGTAAAGCACAAGATGTAGTTTCTTCATCTGTAAAATGAGACTACTATGCACTTCACATTTTGTGAAGGCTGAACAGTCAGTGTATGTAAAGCACACAGCAGCTGTGCACATGCAGTTCTCTCTTCTCTTACTTTCTCAGCACACAAAGATTGTTTCATTTGGAAAGAGGTCATGAAGCTTTGTGACCTATGGAGTCATCAAATGCCCTTTTGGAGTTCACAATCTTTGAGAGAATAGACTTGTTGGAAGACAAAACAATCCAACTTATATTATTTATAAAAGGATGTTGAAATAAATGGAAGCAGAATGTAGCTTCTTGCTGGGGTCCAACCCCAGCAGGGTCCAGGGGTCCCCAAAGGTGTGGATGGAGTCGGCGAAGAAGGAATGACACGGAGACAGCGTTCAGTTGATCAGCAGCCTAGCCAGGA